AAATCACCAATAGCCCTGATGACTCAGTCTGTGATATCAGGAGATAATGACCACACTGACCAGCTGGACACTGGCCACTGGCCCCAGGCTCTGGACAAGACGCTGCATAAACAGTGACCAGATGTTGCTGGAACAAGCCTGTCAGAAATAACCGTCTGCCATACTGTTGTTTTACAACATTGTATTTAATTATTATATTGTTTTACAACATTGTATTTAATTATTCCTGATGTTAATGTAATGATGCTTGTGTTGTGTTCTCAATGTTACAATGGAGTGGGTTGTTGGAAGGCGCCACTGGTGGTAAGAAGTAGGCCCTACTTCTTTTCTTTCCCTCTGTTGTTTCTGTCTGTGTGGGTTAGAAGTAGAAGGTGCCACTGTTAGTGTTAGGTCATGACATACCTCTTTTCTTTCCCTCCTCTTTTTTCTATGTGGGTGGTTGGAGGGTGTCACTACTGTTAAGTCCTACCTCTTTTCTTTCCCTCCTGTTGTTTCCGTATGTGTGAATGATTGCAGGGTGTCACTGGTAGGTGCTACTTCTTTCCTTTCCCTTTTTTGTTGTTTCTGTCTACTTTGATTGACTCTTTTCAGGTACGGTACTAAATGACAGTTATTGTATAAATGTGCAACTAATTCAGGCTTGGGTGAACTATGGTCGGTGTGCCAGATCCAGTCTGCAAATAATTTCAATCTGGCCTGCAAGTTGACCCTGTAATTAAATATGAATCAGGGATGCCCCAGGCCAAGAAAAAAACCCTGAACTTTCTACGGTCGGCTTTAGTACCCGCAATAAATTGATGAAAATAGGTAAGAACGTATAAAACACAATGAAGTGTTATATTGTGTAAAAGGATCACTGTGGATGAATCAAAATTGGAGAACAAATCACTGAGCTTCAACATACCTGTAGATCTAGTCATAAAGACTTCTTGATTCTCTTTGCTGGTTTGTGGGTTCCATCAGCAGCCGGCCTTTAACTTGTAACTCCAACAATGCTAAGAATAGAATGTCTCTCAGCATCAGCCCTAGCAAGAGCAGACTCAGACTGTGTTGTTTCTTTGACTTCAGCAGTCCTCTTGTTGGCCCTGACTCTTGCTAACTGTATGTGGTGGCATGAAGACTGATCTACTGGGCTGAACTTGATGTCATCTCTGTAAAATTGAATGCCACTAGTGGTTTTCTCTGCCAGCAGACAATACTTTACCCTCTGATTTGCCTCTGCTGTAGAAATGGCCTTCCTGTTTGAGGTGCTATCTAGGACATTGTTGAGAAGGCTGAAACTTTGCTCAATTTTGGGGCCAGTAGAGAGACTGAGGCATTTTTTCACCTTGTCTGTCATTTTCTGGGTATTTCTTGATGACTGTGTTCCGAAATTCATCAAGCTCAAGCTTGAATGAAGCTGCCACATCTGGAAGCTCATTGTCAATGTGATAGCTATTCAGTTGTCAGAGAAAGTCATCTGTTTCAGGGAGGTGGATTATTAAGCTCTTTCATCACAGCTTTGGTTGTGGAATGTTTTCTGGCAATTGGGTCCAGGGAAGAAAGGGCTATGATGTGGCGTCGGTGGCTTAGTGGTTAGGTTCTCGAACTCGCAACCCTTAGGTCGTGGGTTCGAATCCCGTCAGGGGCCCGACGTTGTGTCCTTGGGAAAGGCACTTTGCACAAATTTTCCCCACTTCACCCAGGTGGAAATGGGTACCCGGCTATAGACAGTGAACGATCTTGTCAGATTGATAGTGTTTGAGCGCGTGAAATCCGCAGCTTGCACTGTATGCTTCCGCGGAAGCTGAAAATGTTTCTGAGTGTTCTCAGAGGGTCTGCTGGGGTAATAATAGTTGTAAAGCGCATAGAGTATGCTCTTGAGCATGGATATGCGCTATATAAATGCAATTATTATTATTATTATGATCAATTTTTCCAAAGGCAACTTTGATTTCATGTAAATCCCAGTGCAGACAAAGGCTTTGTTGACTTTCTCTAACATTGACTTCCTGTCTGAGTCTGGCATGTCTTTCAAAGAGAGCTGCTCTCACTTCCCACTGCCATCTGCTTGGAAAGG